TCAAGGAGAACGGTGGGGGTGGGGGTGCAGTCCCAGTGAATCGTTGCGGGGGGTGGGACTCACAGAGGGCTCCAATTAGGGCTGACTCAGGTATTTGTTTGTACAGCTGGGACCAGAGAAATTGAGCTGACCCTGGGTCTTTCTCATGAAAATGCAATGAGGGCAAAGCTGCCCCTGGAAATCCCAACATTTTGCCACCGAAAGTCCCAAAACTGCTTCAGAAAATCTTCAGCTTTAGGTGGCAAGATTGTGAAGATACACTCCATCCTTCACAAACTAGGAAACAAAGATGGAGAAGAGGTGAATGCTTTGCCTAAGACCCGCGTTTAGTTAGAATGGAAGGCGTTAGCTAGGCTGAGGTGCAGCTCAGTGGTAGACTGTTTGCCTCGCACGTGCAAGGTGCTTGGTTCTACAAGTAAAGGAAACCATGAACAGCATGTATTTCATTCGCTGAAGTAGCTGAAAAGGGATAAATCAAACAGAGTTGGTAGGATCTATAGGAAGAAAGACATTGGGAAGAGGGAAAACATAATCAAAAGAGAAGAGGACAGGAAGGAAGGAAAAAGGAAAAGTGAGACTAGGAGGAAAAAATGGAAACAAGAAAATTTTAATGGAAAGATTGAAGGGAAGGGAAGGGAAAGGGGAAAAGGGAGAGTCAGGATACAGTTTGTAGAGGTACAAATTCCCAGTGATTAATGTGATCAATATGTACAAATAAAAAATAAAGTTTAAAAACCCTAAATAAAGTTCTAATGTTCATAGAAGAAGACTGAAGTAAATGAAAAAAAAAAAACATGCCCTGCTGCTGGATGTTATTCTCCCTATATTAACTTACAGATCAATGCATTTTCAATTAAAATATTTAAAAATGGAGGGACTTGCGAGAACATTATTAAAATTTACCTGGAAAAATAAACATGTGAAAATGGCTAGTAAAAGTTTAAAAAAGAATAATGAAGAAGGACTATATTCCTACCAGATATCAAAATACAAAATAAACCAAAATGCACTGTAAAGCTTATTGTGGGAAAAGCAGCATAACGGGGGGGACTGAATATGCAATAAAATTTATTTTTTGATAAAAGAGAGAACATCTGGGAACTATCAATAATCAGTTGGAAAAAATAATGAAGTCAGGATCCTACTTCAATCGTTAACATCAAAATAAATTTTGGTTGGAGCAAATATATAAGTTTTTAAAATGGAACCACAAAATATCTCAAAGAAAACATCAACTTTATGACCTAAAAGTAGACATGAGCTTTCGAAGTAAACTGTGAGACTCCGAAGGCCAAAGAAAGAATTTATACTTAAAAATTTAGTTTCTATGCGGCAAAATGAATGCTATGAACAAAATAAAACCAAAAAAGAAAATAATAATAGAGAAAAGAAAACCACTGAAGAAAACGATTTGCAATCTATCACTGAGAAAAGATTTAGTTTCCTATTTTACAAAAAACTCACACTCATTACCCAGATCTACATGTACACCTCAACAGAAGAATAAGCAAGAGGGATGTAACTGGGCAGCTTGTGGAACAAAGGAGCCAGCAGACGTGACAATGGTACCACTCCAGCTGGTCTGTCTCGTGGCTTATTTTCATCAGATAATCCATCAGTGGAATTTTTAGTTGTATATTTGCTTATGAACATTATTGCTATTGCTATTTGTGCCGTATTTTTGTTTTTGTTTGAGACAGAATGTTGGTAGGTAGCCCAGACTAGCCTCAACTTCAATGTCCTCCAGCCTCACCTTTTTGAGCACTGGGATTACAGGCTGCGTCACCACGGCCTGCAGGTTTCCTTGTGCTGTAGTGCTATACCTGCTAATGCCTGACACCTTTTGCCCCTCATAAATATGAAATGGTCTGTTAATGCTCAGCATGGAGTTAGGCTCCTACAATTTCCAATTACTCAGAACTTAGAGAACCCATAAATAAAAATGCCTCTCAAACAATTGTCACTCTAGACATGGGATTGTCTTCCCTTGACCCTCATCATTTCTGGTTTTATGTACAGTTCTGTCAGGACAGATGATGCAAGGCTGGAGATGTGGCTCCACGACTGAGCGCTTGCCTGGCACACATGTGCCAGGCTCTGGTTTTGCTCCCCAGCAGTGCAAAAGAACAAAAACAAACCTTTCCAAGTGTGTTCCTCAGAGTGCGGCAGGATGAAGACTGCGGCCTGGGGGTCTGTCACGGAACACTGGCTGATGGCGGAAAGCTCGGTCCAAGGCACAGGAAGCCAAGGGCGATACTGAGCTGAGGACTCAGAGACACATAAAAAGAAAAGACCAAATGAAGTTTCTTGTGTCGGGTTTAAGAAGCACAACTCTGTGTCATTTTTGCAGAGTAAATTGTCGTTTTACCGTGGAGGGGGTCAGCTTGCGTGACTGCCTGAAAACCACATACTATGGAATGTCAATCAGGGAGGTAGTGATGACACTCCGGGTCCCCTACTCATTTATTTTTGTTTGTTTTAGGCCTAGACGGTGCCACAAGGACAATGGTAATAACGCGTGACCAAATGCAGCCTGTAGATGGCACAGATCTGCTCTAAAACACAATCACTGTTGTACTACGTGGTTGGTATCAAAAACAGAATCAAAAGTCCAAGTGTACACTCCTTCTGCTAATGTCCATTTGTTCATTTATTTACAGCAGAATATATTTATTGAGAGGAAGAAAGCTTCTGCCCTGGGAGAGAGACAGAAGGGGTCCCAAATGGGTTGCCAAAGACTCTCTATTTTAGGGACTTTTATAAAGTAAAACCACCAAGTGAGGCAGGTCTAAGGTGGGAGCTCGCAAGGTGGACATGAGATGGAACAAAATTGTGGCCAACCAGTGAGACTAACTGCTCAGGTACAATTGATTAAATGGAGGACAAATGGGGAATCGAGTCACCTAGCTTACAAACATAAAGCACGCATACATAAAGAGCAGCAGGGGCTGGGTTAGTGACTCCTGGCTTCCTCAGGGGATAGAGACCTATTTAGAGTAATCTTGACATGAGGTAAAAACCAGTGTATTGCTGGACATTGGCACAAATTTCCTTGTTCTTCTCAATTCTGATCTTCCTTCTAGGCATCGAACCTCAAATAGTTACCAAAATATATGTGGTTTAAACTGTAAGTCGGATGACTTTCTCTTCACTCATTCCTTTTACTTATGCCTAAAAACTTTTCCTTTTACAAATTAACCAAAGTCTCAGTTTCCTAATTTGACGCTAGGAATAAAAAACCCAACTTCCAAAGCTGTACTGAAAACATCAAGTACGATTGTCAAGGGCCGGAAGCACCTGGCATGTGACAAAGGGGAGTTGGCATTGCACTTTCATGGTGTTCACATTCCAGTTTCCAGGATCTGGGGCCACCCCCACCCTGCACCGGCACTGAGGATCAACCAGGGCTTCGTGATGCTAGCGGGAGATGTCCTACTTACCTGTGTCCCCAACCCTTGCCTATTGTTTCTTCATCTTTCCTGTTTTTGTTTGTTTGTCTGCTATGTTTTTGGTACTGGAGATTGAACTCATGACCTCATGCTTGCCAGGCAGGTAGGCACTTGTGCTGCTAAACTATATCTCTGGTCGTCTGCCTATTTTCTTACAAGATTAAGTCATCAGAGAGTCCAGATCTTGGAGTTTCTTTAGGCTTAAATTCTTCAGTAATTTTCAATCCCTATGACACCAGCGGTTAACACTTTTCAAGTGCTCCAGCGCACGTCCAGCATTTGTCTAGCGACCACATGAATGAACTCACTTAATCCCCACCACAGCACAATGGGGAGGTATTTTTACTACCTACTGATAGAACTTTGGGGGACCAGCGGCGGCTGAAAAGATAAGAAGTATGAAATATAAATGACCTTTATTTCGAGCATGCAGGGAGAGGACCCCCCCCCCCCGACACCCTGGGGCGCAGCATCTCTACCCCGGGGTGGGGGAATCTCTCCGTGGAACACGTGGAGTGGGGGCCTATATGTAGCTTAGGTTAGGGGTGGTGCCTGAGGGGGCATTAGGGGTGCACAGGTAGCCCATTGGCACTAGTTTGGCGCCAGAGGTAGATTCCTAGGGGTGGGGGAGATAGAGCCCCTTGGCTTTACCAGCTATAGTGTCCTGTCTGGGCCAAAACTCTTTCACCTACCATTTTACAGAGCGCATTGGGCACAAGAAAATAAACCCCAGGTCTCACAAGCAAGCACAGGCCTGAAAAATATTAGTTGGGGGTGGGGGAGCAAGTGGCTCACCATGAATGAAACATACCACATATTTATTTACATGTATGTATAGCGACATAGATACTTACAGAGCGAGAGAGAGGAACTCAGGAGCAAAAGGTAAGAGACACATGCTTTCCACTGCAGAAGAATTTTAATACCTTGCGCATGTTTTACTCATTAAAAAATTAACACACTAATTGAGTGATTCTCCCCAGAGTCCCCTTGCCTATAAGCGGGCTCAGAGGTGGTTCAGTGTACTCAGCCTGTCCCAGGCTGAGCACAGTCTGGGTGCACAGGCTGGGTACCAGGCTGAGCACAGTCTGCTTGGGGAAGGAGAGGGCAGGGCTCCAGGTGACACTGAAGCAAGCAGGCTCACTTTCGGAAACCTTATAGTGGCTGAGGAGGAAATCAATTGTTGGAGGCGACACCCCCACCCCCAATTCAGCTTTTTCATCTGCAGAAGGCTTGGAAGTACTGTGGCACGTTTGGGGGCCAGCACAAAGAGGACCCCTCCCCTCTTCACCCAATTTCCAATGCTTGCTTTTCCTTTAAGGGAAGACAAAGGTTCACATTCCACAATTAGCAAGTGGGCTTTAAAATGCAAATTCCTCAGGGTTTGTTGCCCGGGTGAAAGCCTTTCCACTTAGGTGTTAATTGTTTCCACCTTTTTCCTGGGCAGGGCTGGGAGAGGAAGACAGCCTGGTGGGACCCTGGGCCCGAGGTGAGTGTCCAGGGTGGAGGTGAGGACACCTCCCTAATCCTCTCCCTACCCCTATTCTTCAGCAATATAGGCAGGACGGGAAGAGGTGACTCCTGTGGCTCCCTCCTGGTCACTATCTCCATCACAAACAAGTCTGCAAGCAAAGAAATCCAAGCAGAACAACCGCGGAGGCAGAAAAGAACCCCTGCTGGGTGTTTGGCTTCACAAAGCCTGAGCACACCTGGAGGAGGTATGACGTCCCCCCAGGGAAGCTCCCAGGAGTCAGCTCACCATCCCCCACGGCCTCAGAGGAGAGGAGTTGGGAACAGGCAAAGCCACCAGCTGTGGGAAGGAACCAGGCATAATAAACCCAATAAACGGCATCCAAGAGTAAGGGACTGGGGAGGAGTTCTTAAAAATTACAGGAGTAACACATGCTTACTATAAAACACTGAAGTATTACAGAGAAATATGGAAGCAAAATTCCATCCTCTTGTCCCGCCATCAATGTAAAATTGATTTTTTTAGAGCTATATATGTGCAAAACACTCATGAGGTGTTTATATATAATAACAAAAGGGCAGTTATTTGTTTTATCCTGTAGATTACTTGCTCTTTTTCTTCACTCAGTAATATATTAATGGGTATGTTTTCATATCAGGATACTTAATATCTGTAGTTTAAGAAATACTTAACAAAACTTCTTTCCATTAGTTTTTTCCTGATTCTAAAAGCAGTGCACATCTAAGTTAGGAAAGCCAAATCTCTGTTTGACCATGTGGGATCCGTGTTCATAAAGGGCCAAATGCCCTCTCATGGCTGAGAGGTCCCCCTCGCAGGGAACAGATTAGTCATGGCATGAAGAACAGTCCAGCAGAGCCAGAATGGTGGCCTACACCACTAGTGACAGCTTCTCAGAAGGCAGAGACAAGAGGATTGCAAGCATGAGGCCAGCCTGGGGACGGGCCATAGCTCAATGGCAGAGCACCCACGTCTCCATTCACTCCTGGGCTTTGTCTCTCTCACACATGCCCGTTTGCCTTTGTGCTTTCCTCAATAATCTGAAGCAGCATGAGGCCATCTCCAGAAGCAGAAAAGATTCAGTGCCATGTTTTGAGATTTCCCAGCCTCCAAAATCATAAGCCAAAAAATCTTCTATTCTTTTTTTTGGTACCTGGGTAGAACTTGTGAGGCAAGCGCTTATGCAGCTGAGCTAAATCCCTGGCAAACCCCTCTATTCTTAACAAATTACCCCATTGTACATAATCAGAAGACAGTGTGCTTTGAAGTGCATCTCCTCCAAGCTTTTCCTAACAATTCACCTTTTCCTCAGTCAGCTCTTCACCTTTGTATCCTTTGGTTTTCCCAACCATTCATCAGGTAGAATAGGGTCTACAATCCTGTCCCGTGCACACAAGCAGTGGAAATTGCGTGCGCAGACAGCCAGCACCACGGACATTCCCCAGCACTGGTTTGGATGGGAGTACTGCATCAAGCGAGAAGGCTTTGGCTGAAGGCGAGGTGGTTCTCTATGTGGCTACATCTGCAGACTTGTTCTGAGACTTACTATCTCTTCTGTAGATGAAGGAAGTAGCTCTGTGGTTTCGCCCGAGTGCCAAGTTTTATGATTTGGAGCTTTCATGTATATTTCTATTCATTCCTTATAAACTTCTGATAAGATGTTTCTCCTCTTGCAAAGATTTCAAGAACATGAATTCCTGACTTCAATTTTAAGACTCTAAAATTGGAAGACAGAAATACCCTGCACATATAGGGCTGATTTTCAATACAATTTCTGAGCTCGCTATTTCTTTTTTCTTGTCTGGATTTAGTTGGAATTTATGGTGCACTGACAGTGGCCTGCATCTAAATTACTTATTAAGAGATGGTGACAGACCCATTCTGCATCCTTTCCCCCTTTTGCCAAAGTCATTTTGGCTTCTGATGCCTGGGAATCCTGCAATTATATTTTGTGTCATTTGGTTTTGTTTTGCTTTGTTTTGTTCTATTTTTGTGGTACTGGGAAGTGACCCCAGGACCTTGGGCAAGGAAAACACTTGAGCTAGACTTTCAAATTTTTATTTTGAGACAAGTTCTCACTTGTGATCTTCCTACCTCAGCCAGCTGAAGAACTGGGATTACAGGTATGCAAAATCATGCCTACCTATTAAGGTCATCAAAGAAGTCAACACGTGAGATCCCTTTGGCTCTGAGACGTCTGACTTCCAGAGCCTCTTCACATTTCCCCTCCCCTCATCACCCACAGCTCTGCTCACACCATGCCCAGCGTTCTTATATCCTGGAGTCTTGTGTCTCACCTCCCGGTGGGAAGAGTCCCTCAAACGTATCTGTGCAACTCTGGCATGTTTCCTTCTATTTCCTATATGTTCTAATTAACAGCAATGCATTGGTTCTTTTTCACATCTGCTAATTTCTTTCGGAGTTTATCATGCTCTTAAAAATATGTCCAGCTTGGTAATTTCCATAGTAAGGAAGCATGTTTATAATCTGTCTCTACTGATTTCACTGCCAGAAGTAGGTGCAGATTTGTTTCTGCCATCTGTTGTATCTTTCAATTTTTATTCCTCTTCCATTCCTCATGTTTATCACAATATTAAGGCATAAAAACACCTTTCAATGGCACACAGGAACAAAATTCCCTGATCATTCTTAGATTCCAGTCACTCACCATTACAGTCAAGCAGGGCAAACAGGCACATTCTGGAGATACGTGTGTGAGCCTGGGACATCTGTCAAGGTGCGGTACAGTTTAATCTACTGAACTTTTGATCTCATTTCTTGTGGAGCTGACCTCTTACAACCTCTCTTCCTCACCCTTGGCCACAATTTACCGACTGCCCTCAGGCTTACATGATAATTTTATGTGATATTTCAAAGTTGTCACTTCCATTACCACTGTAGCTCTCCCTGCAGCCCTATGAGATCGGCAGGACTAGAATTTCATTTTAGTAAGGTCAAGAGTCTTCCCCAAAGTCAGAGGGATCAGCACCAGCAGGGCATTACCAGCTGCCTGATTCACTCTGCCCCTACGGAGCTCGTCTGGCTTGGTAGGTAACAGTGATTCCCCCTGTGCCCATGACTGTAGGCAGCTGGCTTCCCAGATCGCTGCACTGAGAGACATTTCCCTCAGAGACCAGGTTGCAGAACATCAGTTAAGGGAATGAGCCACACCTTCCATGGTCAATTGAGAGGCCGCAGGATGACAGCTTCTACGGTCAGTCCTTCAACTGTCATGAAGCCAGGGTTTCCCAGGCTCAGTCAGAGGACAATCGTCCAAGAAAGATGGAAGGAAGGGGGAGGGACAGACCTCATTAACTGGAGCTGGGGCCTGTGAGATTCAGACCTATTGGGACTAAAAGCCTCTAAAGAAATATCACACCTACTTGTAGAAATCTTTACAGCAGGAAGCGAGAGCGACAGACCACTGAGTCAGGTCCTAAAAAATGCTTGCAACCCTCCCCTGGGATGCAGGAGGTAGGGGACAGTAAACACCTTTCAAAGATGGCCTGGCCTCTGTCAGACTACTGGCTGCTAGAATGAGAGGACTGAGAGGTATAAGGAAGCCAGGTGTTTGCTTTTTAGTTGGATATGAGAAAGGGACTCCTTTCAGCGCTTGAGAATGCTTGAACCCCATGAAAGAGTGACACTGAGGATGACAGACCTGGTCCGCATGCTTCCCACTGATTGGTAAGTGACCCAGGCAAATTGTTTGTGTTCTTTGAACTTTAGTTTCTTCAATAATAACAACATGGCCACCATGTTATAGGATGATATAGGGAGAAAGATGTGAAAAAACCCATTAAGTGCAGGAAACATGGTGAGTGGTGAGATCCTTTGCTCCACAAACAGATAGTGAGGCCCAAAAAAGTGATGTGGGGTGCCCAAGTCCATCCAGGGAGGATGACTGAATTGGAGCCAAGCACATCTGTATCCTCAGCTACTTACAAGGCTGAGACAGGAGGATCCCAAGACTGATGCCAGTGTGAGCAATTTATCACTGAGAACCTATCTCAGACGCTGACCTGGGATGGGATGTAACAGTGGCAGCTCACTTGCCCAGCAAGCCCATGCTTCCAAGCCCATCCCCAGGACCTCCCTCCACAAGAAAGAGGTGATCCAGTTTCTTGGTTAAGCACTTACATGAGTTTTCTTTTTTTAATTTCTGAAGAATCCAGTTTTCTCATCTGTTACAGAAGTATGTATTAGTGTGCATTCTCAACACCTTCTCTGAAGCCCTTGGAGTCAGGTTGCAAATCTCTGTGAACATAGCACTGGCAGTGGAGTCTAGGGTACCCCAGAATCAATTGCATTAGATTTTTCTGTACCAAAATATGAGGATATTTATGTTAAAGGTGAAAATAAAGACTGTCAATAGCTTTGTGTTGATTCACGTTAGATTTCACTGTAAGAATTTTGCTTGTTGAAGCTTTACAATTTCAGATTGTGAACCCACGATACCTACTTCAAATGGTGTGGAAGGTTTACATCAAACAGCTGACATGAAAGGGAGGTGGATCTCTGTATTACAGAAAGTTAACTGTTGGTATCACCTTGCCCAGTCCTTGGCCACAGTCTTGGAAACTCACCAGCAGGCTGGTGAAGCACCCACTCAGAGTCTCGGGAAGACGTGTGTGCTCAAGCACAGCATGTCTTTCCTACTGCCCCCTGTGGGGAGACGAGAAGGGGACAACGCACTGTGAAGACGTCCCGTGGCACCAGGCTGAACCCTAAAGCACCGCCACCATCTTATTGGGTGGCCTTGTCCTGGGGCCTCTGGAAACTGTGCTGAAGGTTATTGCAATCAGGCAACCAGAGCATGATTGTTACTCCAGGGATTGGAACCTCACGACAGGCAGTTAATAGAAAAGAACAAAGAGCCCTGGGTGTGGCCTATCGCAAATGGGACAATAATTTCCCTCCCAAAGAACAGAAGCCACCCATTTAGAGTTGTTGGTTTTTATCCAGAAATTTAAACCTAGTACTCCCTGATCTTTTGATTTTCCAAGAAAAGTTAAAATCTGAAATATGTGAAATGGTCACTTTTTTGTGGGTAGTACTGGGAGTCAAGTCCAGGGGCACCCTACCACTGAGCTATACCTCCAATCTGCACCCCCCCCAACACACACACACACGAACACACACACGAACACACACACACACACACACACTTTTTTGAGGCAAAAGTGCACTTGAAATTTTCCTGTCTCTGCTTCCTAGTAATGTGCAACCACACTGAACTATTTACCTTTCTAAAGAGGTGGAGTCTTGTTGTCCCGCCCAGGCTGGCCCCACACTTTCAGGCTCCAGAGATCCTGATTCCCTCCATTTCCTGAGCAGCAGGGAAGACAGTTGCCTGCTACCACACCTCACCAGTAGCATTTCGCAAAGCAGAGAACTGCTGGATTACAATATTAGGTGCATTGGTTAATGGTCTACATATGAATAAAGCAGACTTTTGGAGTTCCCATTTTTACAGACAGAAATAATTTATACCTTTACTGGAAAAAAGCCCACATACAACCTACTTATCTTTCCAAGTTAGTACCCAAAGTGACAGAGCATGGACCTTAAGCAAGCTTTGATGACAAAGTAGGATTGGCTGGGTGGCTGGAACAGCAGGTGTTCATTGTCTCAGTTCTAGAAACTGCAGATCAAGGTTCTGGGGGTTCCGTTGCTGGTAAGGACCTTCTTCCTGGCTTTCAGATGGCCATCTTTTGATTGTGTTCTCATTTGGCTTCACTCTGGTGTGTACAAGCTGGTGCCTTTGTCTGTAAGAAACTAATCCTACAAGCTCAGGGCCCACTCACAACCTCAGTGACTTCCACAAGACCTATTTCCAGTTACAGCCACACTGAGAGTTAAGGCTTTAACATGTGAATTTGGAGAAGAAAAACAAACATTTAGTACATTGTGGTTAGTAAATATAAGTCAAATGGAATAACAATCCCCATAGTATCAAGAAAATCCACAAGTGAGCCAATTAGACAGTTCTCTAGGACATTTGGCATTGAAACAAGACATACAACAACTTCTTTGCTTGTTTCCAAATTTTGAATGTTTTTTTTTAAGGAACTCTGGGGAAAGGTTGGATGCATAGC